CTCTACCTTTTTTGCCGCCCCAAGCGGCGAAGCAAAGGAAAAAAAAAAAAAGAAGAAGAAAGGGGGGGGAGGCGGGGGGAGTCAGTGCCTCCCCAGGAACGGACGGAGTGCCGCCCCTTCAGATTTGCCGCCCCAGGCACCTGCTTCCTTAGCTGGTGCCTAGAGCCGGCCCTGCTTAGAGTTTGGTAGCTGAATTCTCAGAAGAGTCCATCTATGCTGAACATGCTCCATCCCAGAGCTACAGAGTGTTAAGCAGGACTTTCCCTAAATTGCTGGCCCAGACAGCACTGGCCACCAACACTGAGATCAGGGAGTTTCTCTCCTGTGCTCTCAATGCTCCCCTTGGCTGGCACCTAGACAGTATGAGGGAAGAATCTGCCTGACACAAAGGCAGAGAGGACAAGAACAAGACTGGGCGTGGGAGAGAGGTGGAAAGATTGAGACTTGGACCTGGGCGCGCGTGTGTGCGCGTGCAAGACTAGTACTTGCTGGGTAAGAAGACTGGGACTTGGGAAGAAGATTGGGTAGGATAGGGAGGGAGGAGACTAGGAGCCTGTGGTGGGGAAGCAAATAAGACAGAACTGGTGCAGGGACAGCCTGGAGGGAACACAGACCAGGAGTCAGGCTTGGGGTGGGAGGAAGCAGGGAATGCATCTGGCTAGTATTGCAAAATCCCCTCCAGAACCTGTAAAGGAAAGCAAAGATTCCCAAGTCTCACCAGTCCTCTGGTATCAGCAACCAATTCTAATGCTCACTGTAAAAGTGTGTGCCTCGTTCCCCTTTAGTGACTGGTCTGCAATTTACTACTGCTGCCAGTTACTCCATTAGCTCAAGAGGCAGAGATCTGTGCAGTGGGTCAAAAGGTTCCAACACTGCAGACGCCAGGTGGGTGTCAATGTGATTCCACACACTTGAATAGCTTTTTTCAGTTTGCTTTTGGAATAGCATCCAAAAATTGTATTAAAAGGTTGCAAAGTCACACTCAAAAGTTACGAAATGTCAGACTTAAGGGTTGCCTGTGCAGCCTCAATTTGACCCCTTTTGTATATTTACTACAATACAATCTAATTACCTGCCTCTTTCAGTATTGTGAGGATATGTTTGTGAAGCAGTTGGACACTACAAACTGAAGTCTGGCATTTAATAACTTCTAAATACTTGAGTTGTAACCTTATTATTTCAATAATTTTTGTAGGTCTTGGGGTTACATTAAGGCTTATTGAGCCATAGTCCATTTTGTGAGGCATGGAGAGGATCCGAATCACTTTGTTTCAACTGAAATTCCCAAAGGTTTTCTGGTTGAATCTAAATACTTCAGGGACGATATGGAGCAAACATTAGGGTGGAGGCAGCAATATTTGTTTACATACCACGTTAGCAGAACTGAACTGGAAAAAGGGAAAAGACACAAAGCTTGACTTGTACTGTAGTTAGTATATTCTGAAACCCATCTCCATTGGAAATGTAGCTACCCCAATCACCTGCATTTCTGCCTCTGGGAAAATAGTTTTTTGACTCAAAATCATCTCTTCACTTACTAGAAGTGCCTGTGACAGAAACAAGGAATTAGCTTGAAGTGAGGGCAAACCATAACTTACATGGGTGGTCTTTTGCATGGGAGTTATCGGACTGCAGTGTGACATACTTATGTAAGGCTCTGTAGAATCTTATTTCATTCCATTTGCCCCACTCATCTTTTCTCGTTTCCTCCTCAGGCAGCTATTTGGTAAAGTGTTGCGGATACAAAATTAATGCCGTACATAGACTAAGTTACTTATTCCAGCTATTTGTAATCATTAGAAAGTTGTCTGACTGCATGGGGGTTGTAAAGTTCAACCTACCACACCTGGGTATCAGCTGAAGACAAACTTCTTTCAGTATCTGAATAGGACTGTCTTTTTAAAAACAGTAATATCAATTTGGACCTTACAGACTAGAGCAGGAGTCAGCAACCTTCAGCATGCGGCCCATCCAGGTAATCCGTTGGCGGGCCGCGAGACATTTTGTTTACGTTGACTGTCCGCAGGCATGGACCCCTGCAGCTCCCAGTGGCCACGGTTCGCTGTTCCTGCACACTATGCCAGCCATTTTTAACCAGAATTCTCCACTGGTTTCAAAGAGGAGTTCTGCATAAAAATCAGTGAGCTGTTTGGCCCAGGTGTGATAGGTAAGTAGTTTTCCATTTAGTTGTTTTATATATTAGAAAAGTATTTAACTACAGTAGTTCCCATAATTAGATCAGGTAAACTCCATGGCTAACTTGTAACAGTGCATATTTTAATTGATATTGCATAGATTCAGGTCTACATCTATTCTTTTTCTAGTATACAAGAAATGAACTACTTTTGCAGTCCTTTTATTTTCCAAAAATCCATTTTATTACTCACTGTTGTACAAAATATTTTTAAAAATGATGACATTAAACAAGATAATGTTTACACAACTAGACAGTTTTTGAAATTACCTAGTTGGAGAGAACAAGTCATCCAAGACCGTAACAATCAGTGAAGTATACATTTTCAAATACTGTGTGCTTAGTGCAATTTTTTTTATAGTTAAGTTTTTGTTTTAAGATTTATAAATTTTACGGTTTATACAAATTCTCAAATTAGATTAGACAATCTATTTTAAAATTATTTTCCTAGTGTAGGCTATTACCTTTTTTAGCATAAGGTTACCAAATTTAACAGGAACACTACCAGGTAGCTATGGCACCACATTTAGGCTTGGTAGTAACAAAAATACTTTACAAAAATGAATAGTAACGTTAAAGGAAAATGGTTTATTTGGATTTAAACATTCACCTGCTATTCAAGCAATGCATGCAGCAATGTACAAGTGAAACTGACTCATTTTATTTGAATTGTCCAAGCTGAGTAAAATGTACAAAATAATCAAACAGGATAAATGGTGAATGTAAATTAGATTGGTAACATGCTTTTGGCTCCAATACATTCAATTAAGTCACACCAAGGATGAATTTTTTTGGCCCTAATTTTTAAACAGAGTACTACTCTGGTGTCTTCTTGAATAATGAAAACATAGTTCTGGAATTTTACTTTTTATATTCAGTGTTTATAAAAGACTGGTGTGTTGGTTTTTTTGTTTGTGGTTACATTTACCATGGACCCTCATGAGTCAAAGGCTTTCTTATAGCTAAAAAAAAAAAAAAAAAGTCTAAAGGGAAGAGGAAATCAAGTCATCTTAAAATATCTACACCTAACATTGAAGATACTGTATATGAAAACAGAGAAACTAATACTAAGTTCCTTAGGGCCTCATCTTCAGTTGGTGTGAGGTCAGCATAGCTCCATTTGCATCAATGGAGATATGCCAATTTACACTGGCTGAGGACCTGGCCCTTAACATACAAAGAAACTCACTGGTGTGGGTGAGTAGCAGTGCCATCAGGATTTACTTTTACTGTCACAAGACTAGTTCAGAATACCTTGGATCTTATTAAAATCTTTGATCTCAGTGACGGTCTTGCCTTTAGTGTTGGCAGTGGATGTTGCTCAGGGTAAATTCAGCTCCACTGCCAAACAGACTACGGATAATCTAGAATACCTTTAACATTTTCATCCTTGTGAAGACTATTTATCACAATTAGATCTTATTAGAAATATTCTCAAGTCTACTTACAGTCTGATAGATAAAATGTTACTTAAAGCTTTATATCTACCTTTTGCAGTTCTTCGGACAATTAGGGTTTTGCACTGACTTGTAGTCATGTGTGGAATTCTCATTGTCATCAATGGCAGTTCTCCATTGAGCAACATGACCCTTTATTGTCATGGATAACTTGTTTTAAAAAATCATATATACAGGTTAAAAACTATTTCCATCCTAAGGCATGTGTTTACAGAGCAACTCCTAAAAGCAGCATTTAAAAAACAAAAAACAAAAAAACCTTACGTTTCTCTTTTTTTATAATACAAGGGAAATTTATTTAATGCACAAAAGAATCTTGAGAGCACATCAAAGATGAATAATTTACCCAGGATAGAAAATATTAACCAGCTGAAGACTTACTGAATTCAGGAATTGGTGGTTTATATCTTACTATCACAATCATGAGGTCACAATCTTATATACAAAAAGAACAGGAGTACTTGTGGCACCTTAGAGACTAACAAATTTATTAGAGCATAAGCTGTAGCCCA